ACTCGAGAAACTGAAGCCGCCAAAAAGTGAGGGATGATGTGCAGTCTATGTTTGGTAATAGTCACATATACATTTACCGTCATTGACTCCATTTATGACACTAATGTACGCATAACATGGTATATATACATGGCTGTTCTGGGTAATGTCCTTCGTTGAAACCCGGGATCTCTCAGCGTGTTTCTTCTTCTGCGCGGTAGCTGATTGATGCTGATTGCCCCGATCTTGTGCGTGAGTCGATCGTCCAAAGATGTCTCGTCTATCGTTTGAGGAAGAGCGACTTGGAGAAGGACCTGAAGTGTTTCGAAGCTGAAGATGTCTCGTCCATCATGGAGCCTTACGAGAAGCAGGCCTCGGGTTTTTTGGGCAGAGCAGCACATGAAGAATTTCCCTGCAAAGAAACACAACTGGCCCAAGGGAGGTTAAGTCTGTCTGAGGGATGAATGTACTCGGGATGTCAGGATAAACTAATAAAACCATATTTATATATACCAGTACCTTCCAAGTCCGGTGGTTTTGGGACACTCCGAATAAGCTTTAAGAGGCTATTGATAGACACCTCTTGGTGTCGGTCCTGGTATATATATAATACCTAAAGTCTTGGCAACAGTGGATGTTCTGACCTCTGGCATGCCACCGAACAATCCAAGTGAACATCGTTGGATACGGCACGGCACGTCGGTTCCCAGTGGATGATGTGGATGCAAGTCTACCATTCCTGTCAGAATGTGTGTCAGTCATCAAGTGAAAGGTTTTACTGGGACACAGGAGCCCTGTAGTCTACAGACTTGAATATACCTCTTGGAAGTCAAGCGCCTTTTGTTATTTTTTGGCCTCTCAGGTTTTCTGAACCAACCAACGGTTTGACCAGACATTGGGGTGTGAGCGCACACCTTTGTGGACTGGTTTCCAGATCATCCATCCGCATGCCGGATTCTCTCCTGCCGCAGTTTCCTCGAGACCATTCCAACATGGCGTTCCTTTCTTCAAAAGAAAAACACTATATATGTGCAATTACTATGGCTACTCCAGCTCCAAATCGCACTGTTCCACAGCTCCTCCAGCTCCTCTCCACCGGGCACGTGCAGTCGCTTGCACCAGTCGGGGTCTCGAGGCGATCCAGGAGTTGCGGCAGCAGCTGAACGACACCGTCGCGAGCGTTCGCTTAGAGGAGCGTGGATGGGACGACCGGAAGCTGTGATGGCGGGAGACATCGGAGACATCGGAGACGGTCGTTGGAGATGTTGTTTTGAGGTACCATCTAAAACTTACCCAGCTGATAGCAGCACAAGAGAGACTGACACCTTGTGTTCATTTCGCGCGCGCAGCCAGCCACACAGAACCGGCGCCAACACGTTGCGCGCAAAACGCCCTCTGATACCAGCACCAGTACCCTATCACGACAGCCACACAGCCAGCTCACCGCATCGGTCTCAGCACTCAGCGCCGCTATCAGCAATGACACCTTGTCTTAACAACGCGCGCACAGCCAGCTCATTCCTATTTGAAGCAAGCATCCCATTGCTATTACTATCTATGGAAAAACGGTGCCCAAGATGTTCACCTACCGTCCTGGTTGGAGAGGTTTTACCCTATTTATAGGTCGCAGTAGTTATGGTCCATGACCTATCACCTTGTTCGATTATGTTGGCACGTAGAAGTGTGGTTTGAGTTTTGGAAGTCACCATCAAAACCTACGAGTTGGACCGGATCAAAGCCATACAGATGTTTCAAGAATCATCGGGGCAGCAGGGCGGGATGGGAGGTGGAACGCCGGCCAAATGCACATGTGGGACATGGCAACCAAATGAGGAATTCCTTGTTCAAAGAGACATCGGACAGCAACATCTGGCCTTGACCCATGGAAAAACGTTCTGTTTTTTTTCGCTAGGGATAGAACAAATACAAATGCTTCCCCCCTTCTGGTTCAGGCCGTGTTTTGAGACACCCTTTGAGAGGGCGACAAAATCGCAGCACATGACTGTATGTACGTCAACTCTGAAGGTGTATGTACGTATGTACCCTGTGGAAAACTCACATCCCTGAAAACTACTGGTTTGTAGAGGAAAAACGTCTTCCAAAGATCAATGCGACCCGGGTCCCCTGTGGGCCTCTTCGGGAGTGTATGTATGAAGATAACATGTTTCTGGTGCCTTCAGGAGCCAGGGGAGGCCACAGACGAGTCCAAGCCTGCATCTTGATTGCAGCGGTGTACCAGTGTACCGGGTACCGTTCCGCTTGGCAGAGACAAGGCATTCAGTCAATCAATATTGCAGCACTAACTGAAACCGTGTCCTTTGTAAGAACAAGTCACAAGTCGTTTGGATTGTTCGCCTGACTATGACTTCAGAGAATCCACAAACCGACCCGAGTCACTCGCGACAGCCTCACTGAAAAACCTAGACAGAGCCAGTCAAACGCCTCACTTGACCTTTTGGATATCCAAACGTTGTGAGAGAGCACTTAACATCACTTAAGCAAAACAAGTTTCCATAGTGTGTTTAAGGGAGGATCCTCCACTCCCAATGTCCCTGCTTTCTGAAAAATCGTACCGATCCTGCAAGAAACACGTCCACGTACATGAGCATTGTTCAAAACCTAGGGGTTCATATTTAGTATGGTCATAAGGACACTCTGTGTGTCCTGACATGAAGTGGTTTTGAAGAACGCTCACATGATTGAGTTCCAACTGTGCATTCATTTCATGCGCTTTTGAAGAGACCTTCTGCCAAAAACACTTCTAGAAGCTTATCAACCTCTCAACCTTCCGGAAGGGTCGCACGGTGAGGGGGCGGGAGGAAAACCGGAAAACCACCTATACCAGGACAGACACCAAGAGGTGTCTACAAATAGCCTCTAAAAGCTTATTCAGAGTGTCCAAAAACCACCGGACTTGGAAGGTCCTGGTACCGGTTCTCTTCATCGACCTCCCTCTCAGCTCGCTTGCGTACTCACCCCTCTCCGAGATCTCTCTCACCTCCACGCGTCGTGACGCGATCGACCGAGGTCTGGGTCCGTTTGGAATGGAATCCTTCTGGCCGCGCCTCCTATTTCTACCGTCAAGTCCGACCCGAGGAGCGACCGGGACCCGGGACCCGGGACCCGACTTGGTTTCGGAGGTTTTAGAGCGTTGGCACCGGAGAAGTGGCGCAACATGGTCATCAAGCATCATAAAGCTATTGGCCTATATAGGTATATGGAGATGACCAGATTAATATGGTTTTCTGTTTGCTGAGTGCTGTGTGAGCCCATGGGTAAGAGTTTGAGTTGGCATATGCCAGGATGGTGTGCAATTCCTGCTTGGTTTGGTACATACACACACATATACGCTTAAAAACCCCACTATGGAATGATCTCCTGACTTGTTTGTTGTCAAGGTCAAGTAGCACAAACCACCCTAAGAAGGTATCTACAGTGTTGACTTCCATGAGTGCCGCAACCATGTCTTCCTTCCAGGTGCAAGCATATCGATCGTCGTATCCGCAGGGACATTCATCGGCTGGAGCTGAAAAGGATCGCCCGATGGGTTTTTGATCGACTGGAGTCGGTCGGCTACCGGTGTTTCGACATTGGTAGCGGAGCCTCGGCCAAAACGGTCGAGGCTCCGAGTAGGAACTCGGCGCCGCCATGAGTGCCGCTGCAAGTCAAGACCAAGGTGGTCTGAAGTTTTTCTCTGGCGAGTCCGAAGACCACAAGGACTACCGTCGGTGGAAAGCATGGGTCCAGTCGAAGATGATGACGCTGGACAAAATGCCCAAGGAGGCCCGAGGGGCCTATGTTTTCACTCTCTTGAGTGGCAAGGCTTTGGAGTGTGTAGAACACCTGGATCCTAGCGCATTCCAGAAAGAAGGCGGTGAGAAAGTTCTGTTCGATCTTCTGGATCAGCGATTCCCTCAGAAAGAAGTCACCGATGAGATGTCGGAGGTGCTGACCGAGATCTTCAATCTTCGTGCCGCCGAAGGTGAAACACTCAAAGCCTGGATTAGCCGTGCCACTGAGTTGTTCGATCGATGCGCTCGCAAAACGAATGTCACGTTTCCTGAGGAGGCTCGAGGATGGCTGATCCTCCACAGGAGTGGGCTCAACGACGAACAAAAAGCTGTGGTCGTCGCTCGATCCTTAGGGGTCATGAAGCGAGAGGAGATCGGCAAAGCAATGCGCAGCTGCTACCCCGAGTTCGTGATGAAGAAGAAGCACATAGCTGGCGTTGCAATGCTGGAAGAATCCATCGTAGGAGAGCCCGTTTCTGAGATCTCCGACCTCGTCGACGACTTCAACGATGTTGAACAATTTCTTGCTGAGTATCAGCAAGACGAGGCTCTTGAAGAAGAAGTCTATGAAGAGGCCGAGGTCGCAGAAGCATTGGCGATTAGCTGGAAAGATCGACGGCAAGAGCTGTCGAGGTTGCAGAAAGCTCGCAACTTTTCTTCGAATGCCGCCAAGTCCAATGAGCTCAGAAGAAGTTTTCGTGTAGAAGTTGAAGAGTTGAAGAAAAAGACACGCTGCCATCGCTGTGGACAATTGGGACACTGGTCCAAGGAATGTCGAAAAGGAAAAGGCAAAGGCAAGCAGTCCTCTTCCTCGAAGGGCTCCTCAGAGACTGGTGCAGCCCTGGTACAACCCGTCCAAGAAGATGATGAGCAGTTTGTTGCTATGGCGCAGCATTTTGCAAGTTGGTCGCCGCTTGACATCCTGCGTTCCACGAAGCGAGCAACAGATTCCTCGATTCCTGATTGGACCGTGCACGAAACTCTGCTGGTTTCAAGCCCTGGTTTCGGGGTGATCGATTCAGGATGCGGCCGCACTATTGTCGGCCGTGAGACACTTGCCAAGTTCAAGCAAATGTGGCAGCAACACGGCATGTCATGCCCTGAGCCTGAGCCTGAGATCAACTGCTTCAGGTATGGCAATGGTGAAAAAGAGACCTCCACTGAGGTGCTGGCCATGCCAGTTCGAATCGCTGGCAAGTCTGGATCCATCCGTGCAGCCATCGTGCAAGGACAAGCCCCATTGCTGATCTCGCGTGCAGCTCTTCAGAAGCTCAAGGCAACACTGGCCTTCGGACAAGGCACCATGACCATATTTGACGATGCAGTGCAGGTGCCTCTCCACACCAATTCCGCTGGACAGTTCATGATTCGAGTCTTGCCCGAGGAAACCAAGGGCAAGGAAGTGCAGTTCTCGGAAGTTATGGCCTCTCAGGAAGCCAACAGTTGCTGTGATCATGAGCCTACAATCGCACCTTCCATGCCAGAGACCACCTTAGATCTTGAAGAACAGGCCCAAGACTCCGCTGACACAGGACATCCAGGGTCGTCTGTTTGGTCTCGGGTGGATGAAGGTTTGACCTTAACGCCAGTGACGGGCAAACAGGCCCCTTTTTGGCACACAGTCATCCACAGGACCATCCATGATCTTGACACCGGTAGGATAGTGAGCGATCAAACTATCGATCATTGCAAAGATAAGAGATATTATATCCAACCTTTGCCGCAAGACGTTCGCAGAACTCGAACCGACTTCGTGTTTATGCCTCAGGAACACGTCAACACGATCGAGAGCCTGCCAGTTCAAGTGTGCCGACAGTTGACGGCACAAATCAAGCAGGCACCAAGTCGAGTCGGCTCCTTTGTGCAGGGGAAGCGTTTCATGTTGGCTGAGATTTTCAGCCCTCCTCGTTTCGCTCCGTCCATCGAAGCAGTAGGCGGTTTTGCCATGTCATGTGATCTCAAAACCGGGTATGATTTCTCAAAAGCCCAATGCCGAGAAGAAACCAAACAGTTCCTCAAACAGCATCCTCCAGATCTTTTGGTACTGTGCCCTCCATGTACGTACGAAGGTGGTTGGTTCAACCTGAATGCTTGTACCATGGATCCAATGGAGTATTTGAAAAAGCGTCGATTGAGTCGGTTGTTCATTCGCTACTGTTGCGACCTGTTTGAGCAACAAGTACAGGCCGGGAAACAAGCCTTGTTCGAACATCCATTAGGAGCTAAGACATGGACCTATGAAGAGATGCAATGTTTGTTGAACAAGTACTTCCATGTCAAGTGCCACATGTGTAGGTTTGGGTTAAGACTTCCCCACAGCAAACAATACATCCGAAAGGCCACCAGATTGCTTGTGAGTCATCAATCAATGACAACCCTAGGCCTCACGTGTCCTGGAAAGAGAGACCCCCATCACACTTGTCACGACGTGGTGGCGGGAACACATGCTGAAGTGGGATCGATTAGCCAATATGTTGCGCAATACACACCGGCATTTGTACAAGCTGTTCTGAAGACCGCGCCGGCCTTTGAACGTGCCCAACAGGTGCACCTCGTGCAGATTAGGCATGATTGCCCCATGGAAGTTCATGAAGTACTTATGAGTCGTGAAGAGATCCAAGGGGAGGATGAAGAAGCCATCAAACGAGCCCTGCATCGACTGCACAAGAATCTCGGCCACTGTAGCGCTAGAGATCTGGTTCGCATCCTCCGACATGGATCTGCGTCCGACAAAGCCATTGAGATGGCCAAGACGTTGGAATGCGACCTGTGCAAGTCCCAAGTTCGACCACATGTGCCATTGCCTGCCAAACCGACACGCTCCTGTGAGTTCAATGTGTCAGTAGGAATAGATGTAAAATGGCTCCCAGGCTGGCAGGTCAATCAGAAGGTCAAAGCTCTAAACATTGTTTGTCAAGGGTCCTGTTACCAACAGATGATTCCTTTCTTCGAACGGGAAACCTCATGTCTCCTCCGACAACTGTTCGATAGTCACTGGATCCAATGGGCAGGAATCCCCAGAGAAGTCATCATGGATAGTGCACAAACAAATCTAGGAGAAGCCATGCAATCGTACCTTGATGATCAGGGCATCGTGGTCCGAACAATTCCAGCAGAAGCGCACTGGCAGCTTGGTAGGACAGAGGTTCACGGCGGGTGGTTTTCCAAAGTTCTTGAGAAGGTAATCCTAGAACATTCACCAACCACTCGAGAAGAATGGGAAGCTTGTGTTCGACATGCTCATGTAAAGAACCAAATGATTCAAAATTATGGTTACACTCCCCATCAACATGTGTTTGGAAAGAACCCAGACATTCCAGGTGACTTGTTGAGTGAACCGCTGCATGTCGTACCAGGCACCGCCGGTCTTGACGATTCCGCCATCGCCAGGTCTCAAGCCATTCGTACAAGCGCCAGACAGGCTGTTGTTGCCATGCAAGATGACAAAGCCTTGAGACAGGCCTTGGCTGCTCGACCTCGTGCCATGCTGTCGTATCAACCAGGCGATCTCGTGTGCTATTGGCGACAACAGAAAGTGATGGGTCAAGGTGTGGTTCAACAAGGTGGACGTTGGTATGGTACTGCAATTGTGATAGGTCAGGTCGGGAAGAATTATGTGGTGGCTCATCGTCGTCACATCTTCCGGTGTGCGCCTGAACAAATGAGGCCAGCGACCACCGAAGAACGAGTCTTGGTTTCAACCCCTCAAGCAGAGCTGTTAGGTATTCGAGATCTTGTGGAAGGAGGTACCTTTAAAAGCCATCAGTTCATTGACTTGGTTCCAGGACACTATCCCTCCGAAGATCAATCAGTGAAATCAGACTCGGATAAAGGAGACACACCCCCATCAGCACAGCAGCCAAACATGTCGCCTGATCACGAGCAGTCCGAAGCACAGACGGCCGATGCCTCTGCTGTACCAGGTCCCATGACATGTGAGCCAGCGCGAACTCAAGAGACACATGCCTCAGTCTCTGCTGAAACACCGTCACCTGAAGGGTTGGCTAGTGCACCAAGCTCATATGGTCCAATACGACGGAGGGTAGATCAGAAGTCCGGTGCTCCTGCTCTCTACAGACCGCCTGCAATGAGACAGGACGATTTCGTAGAAGTCATGAGAGAAGTGCTCCCTCAACTGCTTCAGGACGCCACAGAAACCAAAGAAGATCAGAACATGGTACATGGACAGAAAAGAGCCCTGTCTCCAGACCCGAGCACGACGGCCGAGTCGTCCGCTGCTCGACCACGCACCGAAGCGTACGATGAAGTCTTGTCTGTACAGGAAGTGGACATGCATCTCGAAGAAAGCATCGAGACACTCATTGCCGCACACATCCAGAAGAAACTGAGTAAAGAGTTGTCCCCTTCAAACAATCCCCCAGAGGTGCAGAAACTAGTTAACTTGTCTAAGGGAGAAGAATGGAACACGATTTCCGACAAGGGAGCAATCCGTTTGCACTTTGGTAAAAAGGCTAGACTCATCCGGGCCGAGCACGCAGACCGTTTCATCGGATCGAGGTTCGTGATCATCAGAAAAGCAACACAAGACGGAGTCAGCGTTGATCCAAGTGATCCATCCACTTTCAAAATCAAGAGTCGATGGGTCCTTCAGGGACATTTAGATCCTGACTTGGAAGAAAAGGCTGCATCTGGGTTGCTTCAATCACCAACCCTCAGTCAGCTAGGTAGGATGGTTCTGATGCAGATCATTGCCTCTCATAAGTGGGTCCTACAGCTAGGCGATATTAAGGGCGCATTCTTGGAAGCAGGCGAACTCCCAGACAAGTTCAGACCTCTTTACGCAAAAATGCCACCAGGAGGCATCCCTGGAGTTCCAGAAGATTGTGTCATCGAAGTAGTCGGAAACCTATACGGACAGAACGATGCTCCAAGAGCGTGGCATAACACCTTCGATCGTGAAGCAACTCAGGCAGGTTGGACCCGATCGATCCTCGATCCATGCCTGTACACACTGCGTTGTCCCAACAGCAACAGCTTGCTGGGAGTGCTCGGCGTTCATGTCGACGACACCGCAGTAGGAGGTGAGGGACCCCTGTTTGAAAAGTCCTTAGAGAAACTGAAAGCCAGGTTCCCATACCGGAAGTGGAGGATATCCAATGGTGAATTTTGTGGTGCTATGTATGATCAATGCCCAAAGACGTTTGACATTGAGATGTCACAGGCAAGTTTTGCAGAGGGTTTGAGACCAGCTCACATCCCCAAAGGTGTTTCCTCCAATCAGTTGCTCAATGAACAACAAATTAGGGTCCTCCGAGCAATCAACGGTAGCCTTAACTGGTTGTCATCGCAAAGCCGTCCCGACTTGTCATGCCAAACAAGCATGTGTCAACAGGGCCTACCTAAACCGACCATCCAACATCTCAGAAGTGCGAACAACACTATTCGAAGGGCCAAACAATTCAAGGACCTCAAAATTCGTTTTAGATCCATTGAACCTGAGTCCCTGACAATATGCTGTCATAGCGATGCAGCGTTCGCCAACGTAGGTAGCCACACACAAGCTGGTTATGTTTTGGCGTTTGTTCATAAGAAGTTGCATGACGGCAAGGTGTCTCCATGGACGCCAGTGGCTTGGAAAAGCTATAAGTTGCCAAGGGCCGTGAGTTCCACCTTAGGAGGTGAAAGCCAAGCCATGTCAACTGCCAGTGGAACGGCAGAATGGCTGTCACTCCTCCTTTCAGAGACCTTGGATGGCCCTTTCAAGGCAAGAGACGCACGAGACCTGTTGCAGAAGAGACCACCAGTCCTTGTATTGAAACGATCACCCATCCTGGCCACAGATTGTAAGTCATTATATGACCACCTGATTTCCCCCTCATCACCAACGTCAATAGAAGATCGAAGAACATGTATTGATATAGTGATACTTCGGGAATCTCTTCAGTTGACAGGAGGTAGCATTCGATGGCTTCCCACGAAGTGGATGTTGGCAGATGGCTTGACCAAAGACAGCCAAGAGCCAATTGACTTGCTTCGATCCTGTGTCCGTCAAGGGACATATCAGATTTCTCCAGAGGACACGGTTCTCAGACAACAAGCTGAAGAACGCGAACGAAGGAAAAGCTTGAAAGCCGACGTCATGGATAATTCAGTGCAACTATAGTTGTTGTTTAAGAGCATAGAGTTTGCAGTAAGGAAGGTAGTCATCGGTAGACTACAGGGAATACTGTGTCTTGAAGCTCTTGTGTTATACGTTTTCTTGCATCAGTAAATAGCTGAGCAGTTTTGTCATAGCATGCAGCCGTGTCACAATGTTTCGAGTGTGTTGTCAAATTGTTTTGCTGTGATCGGTCTTGAAAGAAGTTCCTTATTCAGACCAGGGACAGGGTGACAGCCTTAGCTGTTGTCCTGCTCACTAGTCGGGACAGGGTGACAGCCTTAGCTGTTGTCCTGCTCACTAGTCGTTTTCTATTTTAGCCTTTTGCGATCAAGAGCACGCGCCGCATTTGTTTCTTGAAAGGCATACCGAAATGCCGCTCACTCCCGATGAAGCAGCACAGCTTCGCTATCTGATGGCCAAGGCGTCGTCAGACCAGGTGATGCCATCCCTGCCAATCGATGCACCAGGTATTGCTTCCGGAGCTGCTGACCCAGACTCAGGTTTCAGCTTGATTCCCTTCTCTGGATCGATGACTGACGCCTCCAAACGTCGAGAGGAGTTGTCAGCAGCCTCGCCGCAACCGAAGAAGGAACGTGGATATGGTCCATCAGCACATCCCAAGTTCAAGGCCTCAGGTTCCATGGAAGGATCCTATGCTGCCACCGAAGGAATTCCACCTCCGATGCCAGGTTCAGATTTGAGCTCAAGTATGCTGCCAACTTTGCCTCCGGATGTGATGGACATGCACCAATGGGGTCGCACTGTCATCCAGTTCGGACAGTACAAAGGTTTGAACATGACTTACCATGATTTGGCATGCTCACCCGAAGACCGAGCCAAGTCATATGTAAAGTGGGTAACGGCACGTCAGCGATCAGCGTCAGGCCTGTTGCTTGATCTTTCAAATTATTTGAGCCGTTTCATCGCCGAACGTGATGCAGCAGAAGATGCCGCTTGGGAGGGGCCAAAGATCCCCGGCACCGATGTGCCTCGCACCTATAAGTAGAGATTCAATTCGTAAGAGTCGAAGCCTTGTCAGGAGAAGCCTTGGTTCGAACTTTTTATAGTTTAAAAGCCGTGTTGACTTCCATGAGTGCCGCAACCATGTCTTCCTTCCAGGTGCAAGCATATCGATCGTCGTATCCGCAGGGACATTCATCGGCTGGAGCTGAAAAGGATCGCCCGATGGGTTTTTGATCGACTGGAGTCGGTCGGCTACCGGTGTTTCGACACAGTATACACATCATGAGTGAAAAACCAGCCATGGATACCATCAATCATCACATATGTTCACTCTTCAGTGTGGTTTTTTTGGGCAGTTCGTCTCCTTGTCTCCTCGTCGTCCCCCTGTTTGGCCGCACTCGCTTGACCGAGCTCGCTCGGTCCGGACCGCCTGTACGGACCGGACAGTGGATGGATGGAAAACCATGAATGCCACGCCCGTGAAAAGACCCCAGAAGTCCACGTACCGGTATCTCCAAGAGACCCCAGAAACCAGAGGGAGCCTGTCGGAGGTTGCTGGAAGAAGAACGTGAGTTGAACGTGAGTTGAACGTGAGTTTCGCAGAGGTTCCACTTCTCTGGACTCACAAGATTGCGGGGGTCCTAAAGGTCCTAAAGCTAGCCGGTGGCTCCTGTGGGGTGTTTGGTATTTAAAGTTCAAGCATTTGCTAAAAATGTCCACTTCCACTTATAGCTTGCAACCCCGCATACGTTCCATCCTGATTTGAACTTCTCGCGGTTCTGCTTTCAAACTCCGCTCTCAAAGGGCTCTACGGTTCTGCTACGGAGGATGTCCGTCCGGAGCGGTCCAGGATCCCAAAGTGGTCTGGACGCGTCCGTTGCCACCGGACCAAGTACTGGAACTCGAGGAACTCAGGCGCGTCATGGAGCGTGTGCCTGGTGTTTCATGGTTTTGGGAGGGCGAAACAAATGGGTGTGTTGTGAAGAGAAAGGGAGAACTCCTGGCCCCATGGGTTGTGGTTTGTTGTCCTTCTTCCAGAAGGTCTTTGAGATCTCCACACACCCAAAGGAGAATGGGAAGGGAAAAAGGTGGAACTGTTCGGCAGGCAATACAGCTGTTCAATTGTTGTTGTTTTTTCAACTCTGTTTGAAAACCAGAACATGTGGGGGTGTCAAAACACTAGCCTGCCAGGGACAAACAAAGGAGGAGATATGGATTTCCGACTCGTTCCATAGCCCGATACTTTCTTCTTTCAGAGGGCCTGCAGGTCCAGATTTGAGCAGCCACAACAGGAACACTGCTTTGACGAAAGGACGTCCGTTCCGTCTCTCTCCCTGAAGTTCGCATTGGTACTTGGTACTTGTTTGGACTGGAGGGAGAGGGCGGCCAAGGTATGGGTATCTTCTTTCTTCCGAACTAAGGAGTGTTCTGAACTCTGCTTCCGCCCGGAGGACGTGCACAGTTGTTTCGGAAGGGCTTGGTCTGGGATCTAAAAGGATGCTGGGTGCCTTTAAAAAAAATGTGGAAGGGGGTCCAGAAGAATATATAACGAAGTGATTCTTTTCGGTATGTTGACTACGGGGGTCCGGACCCTAGTCACTAGTCTTCGTCACCCTCTTCGCATTAATTAGTCACACCCTCTTACGGTGACGGCAGCGTCCGCCGGAGCCCGACCGATTGCGGCCAGAACTCGTCTGGAGGGTCTCAAGAAGAAGGCGGTCACGGCACCACCCGCGGATTCGGATTCGGGTGGTCCTTGGCACGACCGGTGGTGCGCTCGCGCGCGCTCGCAGGTTCTAGGTGGTCGGAAGGGGTTCCAAAGTGATGAATGGGGGTGATTCAGGACTCCACTCCACATGCGTTTTTTTTTTCATCACAAAGTCGTCCTCCCAGCCCAGCCAAGTTGGCCAACCATTGGGAATTAAAGGGTCAGCCCATTGAATATCCTTCTAGTTCTTCTTCTAAATCACCCGGAAACATCTCAGCCCGGCCCAACGTACAAATTGTCCAGAATGTCGTGGAGAAAAGATGAACGGACCGACTGTGAGTGGCTTGGAAACCTCTGTGCCCATGGTCATCAGGTGTACAAGGAGTGCTTGAGACTTGAGACTGGTGGCGGTCTTTTGAATAAGAAGACGAGGCAACATGATCTAGTCTAAGCAACCAATGATCTAGCAAACAAGGTGCGCTGGTTCATAGTCCAAAGATGAGCAAGGCATTTATAATTGATATAGTATTTAACATTATTCAACCCCTTTCCTCAGATTTTTGGGCTGCGTCATTGGAAGTCTTGCCAGAGAACGAACTTCTTCCCAGCGGATTTCGGCGGACTTGGAGGATGGACTGTTCCTGTGCTCGTATGTTCTGGTTCTCGTAAGGACTTGGCGGTAGGACTTCTTGAACCTGCGGAGCCCCTCCGGTGGACTTGGCGAGCAAGGAACCCTAACCTTTGGGCACAGAGGAGGATCGGACTGGGTGGGGTGCAGCATTCTTCATCCCTGATTGGGATGATTAGTAGCTGCTTGTTACGTTCGTAGCGTCCTTGCTCCTAGTAGCGATGCGAGGAGCCCCGTTCGCAGCGTCCGCAGCGTCCTAGTTCCCAGATCTGACCCCAAACCTTCCAGGTGGAGATGCTGGCGTCCCATTTCCAAGATGAGCAGGTGTCACTTCGAAGGGGCGGCGTCTACGTCTCGTCGCGTAGGTCTCGCTGGGCGGGTCAAGTTTCCGCAGCGTACGGAGTACCCTGATCCCTTTGGTTGTGAGAATCAGAGATCGATCGAAGAGGTTGCGCTGGAGCCAAACCCACAAAACCAGGTTCGGAGAAAACGACCCCCACCTCTTTGGGTGTGCTGCGTACGAGTGTGCAGACGCGTGTGCGGCCCGCGGAGCGTCCGTGACAGTGTCCGTGAAAGTGTCCGTGACAGTGTCCGGCTTGACTGATCGTGCTGTTGCCCACTGGCCATGATCTTTCTCTTCTAATGTTGACCTTTGATTCATAAACGGGGGGTTGCAAATCTAGAAATCTGATTATTTTGGATCCCTGTATTAATCAATAGGTCAACATTAGAGGACAAAATGCTCCTGTCGTAAAGCCGCCATGGCGGACATGAGGAAGCTGTTGGGTCACCCCACGGAGGGCCCCATCAATGTCCAGAGGCTCTGAGCCACCTAGGTGATCGGTTTTGGACTTTGTGGGGCTGGAAATTCGGGAATGCCTGGTGCTCTGGCGCATCGAAAACCACTCTTAAAGGATTTATCAACTACTATGTTTCAAGATCCTGCTTGCCGAACACGGTGCTGTTGAGGATTCCATGCAATTGGACATATCTAGTTCCAAAAACGCCCGGACGTGGGCAGTGGTGGAGGGACGTTTCCCCTGAAAAAAGGTCGATCGAATTGAATAACTCGAGCGGTCTCCCATGCGTGCCTCTTTTGTTTCCCAACGTCAGTTTAGATGCTGCCCCACCATCAGACACATCAGCTTCCTTCAGACCATCAGGTGACCATCAGCTTCGATGCCTCTTCCTGCAGGAGACAAAGTGGAAAGATTTGGAAGAGGGGACGAGTGAAGCGTTTGGGTAGGCTTGGATCAATTGCCAAGGGTTTTTGCTGGCGGAAGTTATGACCAGCAGAGATACAAGAAGGAACTTCTCGCCTTGGTTTTGAGCTCCTGGCGCTATAGGCAGGATGCTGTCATGGCTGGTGTACTTGTGCAACTCTCAAGTGTGCCATGGGGACCAATTCCACTGGTGTTTGCTGCTATGGCTAGAGCATGTAGAGGCGCCTAGCATCGCGTGATCACTGCCCAGGCCTGCTAGATCTGCTTGACTGGACTTCCGACTTCCGTGATCTTTGACCGGCAGGTTGCATGAACGAAGCGAACCTCCCCCCAAGAAAAGCAAGACTAGTGCCGAGGTGGAACTCGAAAGTGGCTCAGTTGAGTAAGTGGACACTATGAGACTAATGTTCATCACTTGGCACTCTTCAACTGACCTCTTGGGCCTTTTGAATGCCAAAGTGGGCCCACCCCTCTGGTGCTTCGTTCGCGAGGAGCTCCAACAACTCGGGGGAGGCCCGTCCGTCCGGACGGGGCCAGCGGGGCGGGACGGATGCGTCCACCGTGTCGTGTGGAGGGAACGACACGATGGGGAACTACAATGAACTACATACCAGCACCCTCCAACAGGTTGTTGGACCCTAACAGGTCTCAATTGGTGACCTGTAGAGTCGGGTCCTGGTAGGGGATTGAATGCCCTGTGTAATTACTACCCGCGAGGGGGGTAGAGGAATTCCGGGCGCCCTCCATGTGGACCATCCCTGGTTTTTTGCGTGTGGAGATACTGGAGATCCATCACTTAGTGTAGTCCAGACAGAGCTGGAGCGGGTTTTCGTCCTCCCCAGTTGGGGTGGCAAAGCTAAAAAGCATCCTGCAAAGCTCCTCATGAACTGGGTTTCCATATGTGCATACAATTGAGTCGCAAATTGAAGCTGCTAGCTGCTAGCTGTTTCTCTTTCAACGTCTATGACCTGCCAGGCGGAGCAACTTTCACACTGGCTGCTCGGCAAGATGAGGGGCGTGTGTGTTGCGTGTTTTTTACACACATTGTTCATAGGAACCGACGGGCTGTGCCATGAAATCCACGAATTGCCTTGATCATGTTCTACCTGCATTTGGGTCACCAAAGTAGCGGGTGGTCGGTAGAACCAACCAATCGATTTATGATCCAGACAGCACCTTTCCGATTGAAAACAAAAGGTCGGTATACGAGATGCAGTAGGATCTGGATGCAAGTGTTAGGAAAGACAAAGACTCTTGAAACCTTTTCTTTCTTTGGGCAGCTACGCTCCTGGACAGAAAGAGAGAGAGAGAGAGAGAGAAAAAAAAAAGAAACGAAAAGGCCGGAAAATTGAATGCCCATTTCAACTGTCTGGTGATCTTGTAAAGTCAAGCAACAAGCGAACCTTGGCAGACGATGGGTCCGACCTGTCCTTCTCACCTGAAAGAATCACACAAAAAATTCAGAAAACCGGTCGTTTTCCTCGCAAAAAACCCTCTAAGATCGATACAGGAAGGCTCCGCCTCGTGTGTTGAAGGCCCCTTCCGTCCGATGTGCGCCAGCCGCTGCGAGGCCTGAGAGTGCAAGCGCTGGAGAGTCGCATCCCGCTCAGGTGGGGAACACGGAGTTGGCGAGTTCGTTCGCCACACGTGACACGTCGCGGTGACACGTCGCGGTGACACGTCGCGGTGAACTGCGGTCTGAGGATCAGGAACTGAACTGCTCACTTTGAACAGTTGGAACCTCAACCCCAAATGTTCAGGTTCCTCCGTGAACATATCAACACTCTGAACATTTGGAACCTGGAATAATTGGTCGGTCAACCCAGTGTTGACTGTGCGAATCAGTGAAGTTCGGTGAAAGACGCCTTTGGACCCCGGGAACTGAGCGCCAAAGCACCCCGCATCAGGTAGAGCCACAATCGGCACCTAAAACGGAGGAGGACAAAAGATGACAAAAGCTTATAACGATCGAGACAAGGCTTCGGAATTCGAAGATGATTTATTGAAGGTTGATCCAGACCTCACCGATCACTTGAAGAACCTGTACCACCCAAATAAAACAAGTCTAAGTACGTTCAAATCACATTATCTGAGAAGCTGTTTGATGTTTAACGGATCTAAATTATAGACATTCGACCCGTCACCTGGGGCCCTGGGGTACCCAACTAGGACAGTCTTTCTTGGGTCCTTCAACCTGTGTTGGTAACCGTGCACACATCCACAAAGGGCCCACACCTCGAGTCACGTCCTTACAGAGCTCAAAACGTCATGCGATGTCGAGCTTTGCTTGGATTGCTTGCTCGAACCTATGACAAATTGCATGGTTGGGCAGAAAGACAAGTGCCATGTTCTTGCATGTACAAGGGTATCACTCTAATTCAATTAAGCATATATACTGTATATACTGTGCATGTCCTAAATGTATGTTGCGAGCACATTCTGATAAAGCATTTTTGGGTTTGATATGTGTTGATCTTTGCATTTCCCGTGTCTCTGAAGAAGAGAGCACTGGTGCGAACGGTGAATCTTCAGGACCAGACTCAGGCCGCCAGTCGGGGGCGCTCAGCGGGAAGCCGTGAAAACACGGGAGAACGGGGTGAACTGGACCAGTGCTACGCAGGGTGGAGAGAATTCTGAAGACTGGTTCTTTTTGGATGGGGCAGGTGAGTGGAGGGTTTGTTTTCGGTGGAGGAGCATTTGAAGCACATGTGTTTCTTTGGCAACGCACTGCTAATAAGAAACACATACTTCAAAAGACATAAACCCTTGGAACATAACATATATAAGTGAGATAAACCCTTTGTTAATAACTAATAATGAACTGATATAAGTATGTTCATTCCAAGGGTTTGTCCCACCAGGTTGTTAGACCGAAATCCACGTCAGACCTGCAGGTTCGAGTTCACTCTAGCGGAGTCCCTGCGTTCGTTTCGACAAGTCCCTGCGTTCGTTTGCCGACAGAAGCATAGAGATACATCTGCAGGTCAATCATGACTCTAGACATGGAGCTACTATCTGCAGGTGTGACCAAGCAGCTCTAAGACTAAGACGCTCAGCCCAAAAATAGTAGCTCCATGTCTAGAGTCAATGATTCTTCTTTTGAACGTCGGGTGTGTTGATTAGAGAACTACTCTGTCTTCAAACATTCTTGGCCACACGTTGTCCGGATCGGCAATTGTGAGTCGATGCAACCACGGTCACCGACCATTTCGACCAATTGACGACAGAAAGCTCTTCAATCTCTCAGAACCTTTTCACTATAGTACCACGATTACTCATTGGCAAATGGATGCACACCTCAATTTGTTCATTTGTTCTACTTCATGTTACATGGAATGTACCAGGACCATCCCATCTGGGTGTGTTGTGGCTGGCCCCAGCCGACTACTATCCGGGATCTCCAGCCAGGACACCCAGACAGGATGGTCCAGGTAGATCCATCTACAGCCAAGTGATCTTGTGCCTTCTCCAAAAAGTGTGCAGGGTTGCCCTAACCCTATAGGGCTCCAAGTACCTTCCAAGAAGCTGGGACCGGGGTGCCAAAACGTCGGGTCCAGTCATACCACTTCGGAGGTACGACTGGAGCCGGAGGGTCAATGATGTCTGTTTCAGACCACGGTCGACCGAGAAGTTCGACCCAGCTGAGGCGAAGCCGTGCAGCTGGCGGAGTCGGCCGCTGCCATGCAGGTGGCGCTTCGTGATAGTTCGTGGGTTCGTGAGACCCCCTGAGGTCGGCAGGTGTTCTAGTGAATGGGTTTGCCCCCAGAGGTTTTGGGCCTGCGGTTTGCTCCGAGAGGCCTTCTTTTGCAAATGCTGCTTGTTTTGGGGGTGCCGTTTCTTTTTGAGGGTTCGAGGACGGCATTTGGGGCACCAAGAGCACCAGGATCACACTCGGGATACTCAGGATAGCTCTTACTTCAACAGAAGAGCGCTGGTGGCTTCAACAAAAGGGAAGAGTGCACAGATGTTTTCAGACGCGTAGGGAGTTTATGGGACTTTGGATGACCCTCGGATCAGCAAGTGTGGCACCATCCTACGGCCTCCCCCCCCATTTAATCGGTGTCATGGTCATGCTGAGCCTGTTTCTTGCGCATGCACCTGATGCTTCGGCTTGGCCAGCTGGTCTTTGCCTATCTCCTGTATCAACCGGTCTCTCGCCTCGCGACCGCTGCACCGGTTCACCGCTCCGTCCACCTCGGAGCGTGTCGCTCGGCTCCTCGGTCCGGTCGGTCCGGTCGAGCGCCAGGCGCAAGCGGGAGCGGGCTTCCATCCACACCAGCCCCGTGCCGACACCCGCCCCGGACCCGATCGGCCTCTCGGAAGAAAGGGAGGAGCGGAGCGAGCGGAGCGAGTGGTCTCGGGGCGGGGGTGAAGTTGGAGGAGTGAAGGGAAAGCTGGTAGATGAGCGCAGATGAGAGCGTCTTCATCTTTGCTTGTGAAAGCAGAGGCGGTATTTCTTTTCGCATCGCGTAGGCCCAGCAACGCGTAGGCCCTCAAGGCACATCTTGGTGAGGACCTTGTGTTGAGGTTGGGAGAGGGCTCTTCAGCGGCCGGCTCTACTACTAGTCGTTGCCTTGTTTGAAAGACACATCTCCTCCGATACAGGGATTTGAAATGGATGAAAGGAGCTGTCACGGGTTGTCTCGGGTTTGTGGAGATAATCGACACGGCAATAGGACATTGTCATTGTGCATGGAGTTCTTCGAATTTCATCTAATTTCAAGTCTTCTAAGAAGACAGGTCTGTTTTGCAAGTCACAAGGCTTCCACCACGAAGGCACTCGCCAAGGACAGGCGAAGGCGGACAGTAGTTTTTCCATCCGGTAGCCCTTCATGATCTCAAATCTGGTCTTTGGCGTTCTGGTGTGCAGCCTTTCATCTCACCATGTTTGCTTGCAAGACATTTCACTTTAAGATACAGAGCGAAGTGTCCATGCCAGTTCTTCCTCGTCATGTTCGTTTGCTATCGCCTAAACAGGTCGGTCACTTGCGCCGGTGCTCGCTTAGCCACCAGTACTTGCACGAAGGTTCGCGTAGGCACCCTTTGCAGGCATGTTTTTTTTACTTAGGTTGTTTTTGCTATTACTCCCCCAAACTGTATACCCCAAACACAACTCAATTTTGCTGTTCACCCCGTTTTCACTAGGTCTCAGACGAAAATCGTCAGAGTCGAAAACCGCCCACGCGATCGTGAAGTGGATTTTGAGGCACCAGGAGCCGGGCCTTCTTCCATGGACCACCGTGAAGCAGGGGAGTTTGATCCTCATTTCAGCGTGGGGCACCTTGACGAAAGGGAAGAAAACGGCACGGCCTTGACGAAAGGCCGTTTTGGTAGAAAGAATGTTCGGGACTCGCGACCATGTTGTTCTTCTAAGAGACCGGGGGTCTTCATGGTGAAGCATCTCTTTCTTTGGATGAAGACAACCATTTAACATTGATGGATTGTGTTTTCATTGTTCCTCATGGAGTTGCCTCTCATTTGCTCACCATGCGCATGGAAGGAGTGAAGATGATAACGGGAAGCAAGGCGGAAAGTGCTACACTTGCTAGACTACGAAACGACCAAACGGCCTCCGCCCCTTTTTGAGGGGTGTGAAACTTCGAGATTCAGGGGTGGCCACTACAACCACCCCCAAACCCTACAGAGGTTAAGTGACCAGAACTAGTACCCTACAGGGGTACCTATAGGATATATAGTCTATAGGGTTCTTCAACCTCTGCTGGACCGGCAAAACCCTGGGTATTTGAGGCCAAAAAACCGAGACCCCTTCGGGCCGATACCTCGACCCACCGAGGTATCGGCCTCGTTTGGAGCATCTTGCGCCTTTGGACCGACGTGGTGGACATCCTGTCGCTCGGCGAGTCGTCCTGGGCTGGACGAAGCTCAGTCAGAAGCACCCTTGGCATCCAGTTATATAGTTCCCGGTTCCCCGGTTCCTTATATAGTGGTAACTGGGAGTCAGAATCTAAGGTAAGGTTCATCCAAGTTCTGAATCAATCACCCTTGGCCCTGGATTTTTTTTGCTAGTGACTGTTGGGATGTGACTTGATGTTGTCATAGCAAGATCCAGTGACCTTCATTCACCAGGTCACCATAGTGACGTCGTACCAACAGATCTCTAGAACTTCAAGCAATTCTATCCACATGAGGCTCACATCAGTCAGAAGTCGTTGCCTCGTTCTATGCCCGCACTGACTGACCTTCCAACCGCCTTTTCCGCGTTGTTCCACGTCTTCAGGGACCCTCCCAAGAAGCCCGACAACCCGGATCTTGAGTTGCTCTTCGATGGCCCCTGGCCGCGGTACTTCCAGCCGAGAGGAGAGGGACGTCGTGTCACCTCACCGCGTGTGTCGCTTGCACCGTTTGGGAGTAAGGTCGTGTCATTAGGGCACCGTTTGGTTGGGCAGGGGAGAGTTGCCCACACTCGGGGGTGTTTGTCCTTCCCGGAATGGTTGGAGGCAACAACAGGCTTTGCTGCTGGAAGAAGATCTTGAGTAACCAAAAGCTGATGCACGGTGGAGTGGGACCCAAAACTGAACGAATGGAGTCTGCATGCAGGACCCGGCGAGCCTGCCGGATAAGAAGGTGAGGTGTTGTGGTATGAGTCGGTATGAGTGTGCATTAAAATGGGGTTCGACCCCGCCAGGGCCAGGAACCCCTGGAAGGTTCGCAAAATAGTCTACCCATTAAGTTGGGGACCTCCCTGTCAGCGGTCATCGCCAACCTCGGATGATGTGAAGTTCATCGATGTCCACACACCAGACGAGCTCTGAAATCGGGTTTCTGGTGAAATCATGAGACCAAGATGGCATGCATAAGGTTCAAAGGCTGGTTAGAGGCACAGACTGCGCAGACTGGATTTGGTAGGTGGGAAAAACGGGTCGAAAACCATGTGTTGATTGGTCGAGTTGCTTTCGTTGGATCCACAGGGACACTTGGATCATCGTGGATCAACCTGCCGCGCGGAAGGACTCGCCTGTGATGAGAGGGACCGAGATGAGGCACCGAGGATCCTCATTGCTGAGAAGCATGAGGCCACGGCGGGTGGAGAGACTTCTGTGATCCTTGATGGAGTGAGTCCCTAAATACAGAGAGCAGCATAGAGCAACTCTGCGCGTGATGAGTTTTGACAGACTGATGCAACTGATGCGAAGGACGTCGAAGCTTTCAGTTGAAACAAGCCTTGTTTGAAGATTGAAGTATAGCTTGCCCTTGGTATGCCACCTGGCAGTACCAACTCCATGTTTGGATCTGAGCTTCCATGACAATTCCACCAAACTGAATTGATCAGAGATATCCACAGCGGTATTCTTTAGTTAAGGTCCATGATCAGATCCCAGATGTTGGCTGCAAATCCACTTAAGTGATGGATCCTTGCTCTTCATTGTCATGAAGGTCCCCTTCTTCTCCGGATCGAAACCCAAAGTCTAGGCACCTTGCACCCTGAGATTAGGCGGGTGTAAGTCCTGTCCGACAGCTCCGGTCGCTTTTCTTCGCCTTGTTGGACCTTGAACACCTCAAGAATCTTTGCAGAAGACATCTGAAGACATCTGAAGACTTCAGACCTCACCGGCAGAAGTGACGACCGAAGGAGTGGAACACTCGACCCCTTCAGACCTCGAGAACACTCGCTCCCCACGCCGGTCGGGACGGGGCATCGCCTCCGGCTTCGGTTTCACACCATCCTTTGCGAGTGAAGAAGGAAGCAGTTCGGTGTTTATGCTGTAGACTGCTTGGATGCGGGTTTGACCAAAAAGTGTTTTTGTTTACAAAGCACTTCACTAATCCACCATGTTATTTTTAAAAAAGACCCTTATTATTGCTAGCAATCATGATCGACAACAACATCAACTACATAGTGCGGTATGGTGCGTGCTTAGTTTAGATTTATATACTGTATGAGTGGCAAAACAACCATAACTGTATAAACACCGATCCACCGATGGATCCACCGATCCACCGATGTCCCAGTCGAAACGTCTCAGACATTGTCTGACCCGTTGCTTTCACCCTGCCTTCCGAAGAGCGGAGAGACCGCTCCAGAAGAGCCGAGACGGTGTCCGTTTCCGAAGAGCGATGAGCGAGCCGATGAGCGAAGGGTCGGGTCGTGCAGGTCCATCAGTTGCTGCAAGAGGAGCACTGGACCTTGTCCACCAGCTCCATGGAAGCTGCCTGCCTCTCCACTCAGCCCAGGTCTGGACCTGCGTGGCTTGTGTGGGGTGTGTTTGAGTAGTTGCTTTGCCGGGCGTTTGAGCAGCGAAAGAGGAAGACACCAGCAGGTTTTTGACACTGCTCATATTGAGGGAGGGTGGTCATGTAGAATACTGCAAATTTAAATCTAAAAAAGGCTTTGGAAAGTATGCTGATTGGTAAAGGTTCATTGGTTGGTTTACTAGACTCTGTGTTTGTTCGATTCCCACAAACAAAGCTTGACCATACGTGAAGGTAAAGAATATTGCAACATGTTGCAAACCATTCTCGGTTGCTCATAGTGTTGGATAGTCACATGCCTGCCCTTCGTCTTCAGAAATGCGATTGACAGAACATTCAGGAAAGGTTCTGTTTGGATCGAGACAACCCATCTTTTTCAGCTTGAAAACAGACGACTTGGCACCGTCCTCTCCGTCGCCAGGTTCCATGCGAGTGGCCTCCGCGGCATCTCCTTGCAGTGTGCCCATGAGGCGATTGGTTCGGCATGTCACCACGTGCTGAACCGAGGAGGGTGGACGTTTCTGCAACAGAAGTTCCCATTGGAAAAGCATCTTTATGCCTGAGGGCTGCTGCCCCCTGAAGATATAGACAGATTCAATTTACAACGGCTCTGGTTTCTAGTTGTGCTGGCCATCCAAAGACCTCCTTCTCGCTCCCATGGCCACAGGGATGCGAGAGTGTCCTGGTCGGCGAGGGCAGCCGCGCTCTGCGCTGTGGGGGCAATGAGACCGCCGAGTTGGAAGCTCAGCAAGCCTGACTCGGAACCTAGGTCCTTCCACCTTTAAAGGCAGTTGGGCCTTCACAACAATGTTACACCTACAACGAAAAGGACATGGTGCCCATGAAGTTCATTGGGAAGGATCGGCCTTCTCCCGAAGACTGGGCCGGTCCATCGAGGACGTCGCGACGTGGTCGCTCTGCGCCTGCTCGCTCGAGGTTGAAGCTCCATGGTGGGCCCTGGCACCTCGCCACCTCTTTAGACCAAGGAGTTTGGGCCACGCGCCCGGCCGGGGCGCCGAGTGCGGGCGCGCGCATATGCGCGGCAGCCGTGGACTGTTCTTGGCGGTTCGGGAGTTGGTGTTCGTACCCAGGGAGTGCTAACCTTTCATTTGTTTGGCATGTTTTTTTTTCCAGGAACAGGACGGTTAGAGTCTATGAAGGAATTTGACGTAATGTTCATGTTCCTAGATTGGAGAATCTCTGGGATCCAAACTGAGATGGTCATGAAAGCTGCAGGTCCAAGTGGATGCCATGGATCTGTGGCCCGCCCGTTGCGGAACGAAGATAACGAAGCACCGCCGTGCTAGAGTGTGTACATCCACCATCCGATCTTCACTGTCCAGCTTCCTAATCCGATGGATGTTCGTCACGACCCGCAACTTGAGCTGAGCAAATGCTTCGTCCACTGAGCAAGTCTGGTACAATGGAGGAATTGCAAATGTGTGGATCTTCGTAATGGTTTTAGCCTGTGCGAGCGTCCTTTGTTGTTCTGAGTGAAGTTCAGGCTTGCCCTAGAAGGGTTCAGTGCAAGTTCCTTGAGGTTAAGTATGAGTGAAGTTGAGTTAAGTGGATGAAATAGCAACTATTGACTATGATCAAAAGGGTCTAGTCTATCATGAAGCAGGAATGGAGCCGTATAAATGACCTACACAATCCCACAATTGTATCCTCTTCCAGAGGTTTTCCAAGTTCGGCTTACATCTTGCTCCAGACCTCTGTGTATATCCCCAACTCCCCAACCCTCCAAAACAAAGAACGAGTTTCCTCCAAGATATTCCACGAACTCGCTAGAAAAGCATCGACCTTCCCCCCCCAAAGGCCTGGCCTCTCTAGGCGCCCAGACCGACTGAGTTGGAGCTGATTTTCGGCTCCGGCCGAGCGGTGGCGACTTGAAAGGCGACCCAAATACGACCTGCTGAGGCAGAGTCGAGTCCGGTCTTGTTGCATCCAGGACGGAGCGGGCGAGCTGCGAGCGGAGCGGACGAGTGTCGCAGGGTTCTTGGTGCTGGGTCCGCAGACCTAGAGGTGCCTTGCTTGGAATAGGATGGAGAACAAGCGACACTGAGGACTTTTTGGATCAATTTGCTGAAACACCTCACGAACCCCTACCTGAAAGACGTGTTAACCTCCCTGGTTCTGACACGTTTCCAACATTTTCCAACCTCGTGCATTGCGATGATCATCCAAGAATTCTCAAGAATTCTATATATAAATGCTCCTTAAGATCAAAGTACATGATCTGGTGATGCTTGGAAACCACCTCTCACTTCCCAGCTCGCCACTGGCACATCCCCGGATCTTCACCCACTCGCGAGCGATTCGCGAATCGGCGAGAGCAGTCGTACCGAAGGATCTGATGGCTGGGCCGGGTGAGCCTAGTCTTTCGGGCCATGGACGTGTCCCAGAACAATGGGTTGTTGCTCGGGGTGATGTTCATGGTCCTTTCAGAAAGCAATTGGCCGAATTCGGAGGGATGGAGATCGAGGGATGAGGCAACCCTCACATACTGTGCAAGCAGCTGTGACGCTGCGAATCTGCAGACGACCCCGACAACGACCCGATTCTGGATACCAAAACTAAGTGCCTTTCCAAGATGTGATGCAATTCTCCAGAACCTCTAAAAGCCACTTCCAAAAAGCTCCGCATTGCTCCGCGCTTCCGCCGGAGATTGCCTTGCTTCGGTGTTTCCGTCGCTCGCTTCGCGCCGACCTGTGAGGTCCCAGCTCTGCAGTTGGCCGAGCATCCCGCAGCTTCGGACCAACGCCTCTTGGATCGGCTGCAGGCGAGGCGAGGCGAATTAAGCGGCTCGCTTCACGTCCGATGAAACCGTGGCTCCACGGCCTGTTTTTTGGTGTGGTGACCACATCCGGGATGGTTTCTTGTTCCACCAGGAGGAGCATCTCTGGTGTGCAGGCGTATCAGAGATGTGGTCGGGTGAAACAGGTACTTTGGATGTATAGGTTTCTATAGGTCACATGGTCCGAAATCCCAAGGAGATCTTCCTGGAAATTCTTTCAAGGCGTTGGTCAATCAACTTGACTTCCCAAAATCTCTTCAATATAATGGGCCATTAAACAGTGGCCTCTCCACCCAAGTGAGGATTGCCGCGGATTGCATTACTTCAAGCTCAGTGAACATGGAAGGTAGCAGAGATTAGCAGAGCATGGCAGGGCAGCTGATTCATGGGGGAGAGGTTTATTCTATTCAATAATGGTTCTTCAAGCAAAAGTGACGGTTTCTTACTGCAGGTGATATTATCACATAATCCACCAAATGCGGCCAATCATGTAGTGAAATGTGCTGATCACATTCGATGTGCTTGCATGTTCATGTTGTTCTCTACAGAACACATCTTCAATATGCCAAGCATCAGCGCCGTTTTCTGCAAAAGCCACGCAGGATGGCGGCCTATTGGCCATGAGTCATGCAGGAGCGGTAAAAGAGGGGGGAGTCAGGAATTTCTTATCTGACCTGTTCCAAACATGTTCAACTTGAATAGAAGTTGAGGCTGTTCAAGAGAACCCAAAATAACCCAAATGCAAGCCGGATGGAGAAAAACAAGCGCCAACAATTCACAAGCTGAAACCTGTAGCTCACTTTTCAGATCCCCATTTAGGAGACTTCTTGAAGTCAGGTTTTCATGTTTGTATTTGAATTTACGGGACGATTTTGGGATGGACCACCTCCTCCCTTCATCTAAACAAACTTGGCGGATTCCTCCCAGGAGTCTGACAACATGAGCATTTGATAGAGACAGGAATCATCGAAAAGACCACTCAAAAACTGGCCCACACGGAAGGTACATTTGCCCTTCCTGAAAACCACCAGTGCTTGGACAAAAACGAGGGCCATCAAGTCCTCACATGGGAAGGATAGGAAGCGTAGCCCCGCAGCTCCACCCAACGCCTCTCGGCCTGGTCCGCTCCACCGATTGAAAGGACGGATCCATGCATGGCAGCCACAAGCATCGTCCTCATCCTGGCTCCCTTCAGGCAGGATCCAGCCCGGCTCGCTGTGGGAAAACAACACCAGCCAGGGGTGAAGTCCAACATTTTGCAGGTGAAGAGCTAAGTGTTTTCTCCATCGGATCTTGTAGGATGTGCCACTCCCCACTCTATGAACAGCTTCTGGGAGGATCGTGTTGTCAGAAGGAAACCCTCTTGAGATTTTGAGCACGTTATGTACTCAGCTCTCTTTTGTATTTTGTGGTCATTTGTGGAGATCTTTTCAGAAGGATCGAAGTCTCACAAGAAGAGGAAATGACACTCACCGTTTTATTTCATTTTCTCTGTGTGTTGGGTTTAGTTTGCCATGTCATGTGGTCGACTTGATTTGGAATCCCCCCTAGACTCCACTGGGATTTGTTTGGAATTCTGTCATGTGTTCTATGGCTCTGATGTATTTGGTCTTGAAGTATCTTGGCCTCTTTAGTGTTCGATCGTCCGGAGGAGTTGACGTAAAATATCAAGTCCACCACGGGCAGAGAGATGGAGGAGTTGGACGTAAACCTGATGCGTGAAGATGGTTTACGTCCTTGCTGCCTTGTTTGGGTGTTTTTTTTGAACATTGAGTTCTTTGCTTCGAATGACTCCTTATAATGTGTCGTCAGGTTGCAATTCAGCATGTTGGAGGAAAACATTGTGGGGCGGCCGCTCTTCTCCTTTTGAGACTTAAGGCCTTGAGGCGTGGATTGTTCCCATGAATTTGGCAACGAACTGTATCACCAGGTGAACTGGCATTGATGATGCGGAGTGCAGCTTTTGGGGAAGAACTTGCTTGGCCTAAAAGCGCAAAGCGTATGGGGGGGTTCTCAGGTTTGCAGAAGTGTCTATCCGCAGGGATTTGTAAGGTCTCTTGGTTGTTGGTAAGCCTGAAGCAACAGCAGAGCAACAAGAGTAAATACGCGTTGATACAATTATATACGAAGTATATACTGTAGGTTGGTGCAGAGGCATGCCAATTGTTCAAAACTTTGGTTGAATGATGTTGAGTGGTTTGACCGCCAGGAACAGCTAGGGTGTTGTGTTGCACGTGGTGCTTTGCTCACTTGGACACCTGTGCAAAGTTCCGATGCTGACAACATGGCCAGCATCGTGTGGTGTGTGCATCCCTTGGCCAGTTGTGCGGCGATACTTCACCTTTCAACATTCCAGAGGGTGTTGGCAGGTAAGTTCACTTGGAAGACTCTGCGACACTAAAGGCGTTGTTTCGTTTGGGTCTCCCCATGCAAGTGGGTACAAGGCGATCAAGATTTGCAAGCAGATGTGGCGAGTTCATCGTGTGGTGAAGATAACCTTTCACGGGCTTCCCCAAACTGGAGAAGCCTGGCAAGTTAATCATGTGGATGGCGACCGATCCAACAACAGGTTAGACAACCTGGAGTATGTATCCCGCGGCGAGAATATTCGTCATTCATACTCCAGCCTTTCTAGGTGTAGTTCAGGGCCTGCACAATCGAAGACTGTGCTCTCAAGACCTGTTGGGTCTGCGAACTGGACAACACACCCTTCTATCACAGCGGCAGCTCGGCAGCTGGGCATGAGCACAGAAAGCGTTTCAAGATGCAGCCGCAAGAATTCTGCAGCCAAGGGCTATGAGTTTAGGCTCCCAAGCCTGCGTGACATGTCTTTGCCCGAAGAAGAATGGAAGCAAATGGTCCACCCGATATCAGGTGCTTTAGTGCCGGGAAGGATGGTCAGTTCTCTTGGCCGCGTGACATCACGCTATGGATTAACAAGCAGAGGGCACAAAACATTGATGGGGTATTACACGACTGGATTGACAATAAATGCCTGCTACCACAATATGCTTGTTCATCGCTTGGTGGCTGTTGCCTTTCATGGTCCACCACCTTCAAAGGATCAAACGTTTGTGAACCACAAAGATCTGGACAAAGGCAACAATGCTGCGAACAATCTGGAGTGGGTCTCTTCTGCGGAAAATCGAGCTCATTTTCTTGCAGCCTCCACCCTTGGGCGCGGAACCCGTGTAAAGCCTGTTTGGAGCCGGCAACAAGATACAAATGATGCGTGGAGGTGGCATCAATCCTTTACAAGTGCTGAGCATGAACTTGGTCTTTGCAGAGATAGCATTTCTCGATGTGTGCGGGGCCTGCAGCGGCAAACCTGCGGATTTGAGTTCCAGCTTGCAGACGCAACGGAGACCATCTCTTCGCTCCCGGGCGAAGAGTGGCGTGACGTGGACGTGGGGTTGCTCCAAAGAGACAGAGAAATCCGTGGGTTTCGTTGACCCCACACTGAACCCCATGGGCTGAAGTTGGAGAAGTTTGATCCCCGTGCACGGGAGGAATCCTTACCGCCATTTGCACTATTGGACAAGGAGTGGCAATGAGTCCGTGGGCAAGCCAGCAACGGCTCAGTTTGCAGTAAGGGCGGGAGCACTCTTTCATTCGAACATGTTGATTTTGTTGATGACCATCCAGGGATACGGGTTCTTTGGGCCTATTAGGTTTCACTAGCTGCACGCTTTGGTCCATGAGGCCATTGACATGAACCCTTCGAAAGAAAGATGCTCCTTTGGCGGTGAGGAATTCAACTACCCAACTTGACAGCCGCAATGGACCGGCTTCCCACTCAGCCCAGGACCTGTGAGATGTTATAAGCTTTAGAAACATGCATATAAATAATCTAGAATGTGTATTGTATATTTTAATATATATATATATTATATATATATATATACATGTGCATCTATGTGTGCTTCGAATCAGCAAAATAGGTCCTCGTGCCTCCATCGCTGCGCCAATCACCAGTTGCTTCGCCCTCGCGCGCGCCAGGCTGGTCCTATGACCTCCCTGATGATTTAGGCTTAAGGCGCAGCTGAGAATCAATTGTGTGTGGAAAGGTCGCAACGGATCTGCAACGAGGGAACGAACTAGAAATTTGTCCAGCGCCCTGGAATGACTAAAGGATCATATTTGGAACAGTGTATACCCTAATTAGGCGTCCTGGCCCACCATTAATTTAATAGGCTTTACCGAATCAACTAAGGATTTTGCACTACAAACACCAGGTCAACCTTTTCTTAAATGGTCTTGGAAGTCTAGGGTATATAGTCAGTATGTTTGCGTGTGCTTTTGCTTCCGTACTATTTTCATCATGTTTCATCTATTTTCCTCACCTTCCTGTTTTGGTGCGGGCAGTGGGAGGGCATGGTGAGCCCGGGTCAGAGCAGGGTAAAATGATTTGCCAAAGGAGTCTTGAGGGCCCTCGGGAGTGCCACGATGCCGTTCTCAGCCATCGAGTGTGCGTGTTTCGTTCCTAGATCCAATTTCTCCCACCTCTGTTCAGAGGTTTTTGGGAGCCTATACGGGACCCACGCTTGGGCTCCATGTTTTGAAAAGCACACACTTCAACCAATAGTATAGTCTATAGTGGACACCGACAAACCTCGGTCTTTGGCCCATTTTCGTTGGAGCCACCCCTGTTGATCCGTCTCTGTGTCGCTGCCCCGCCAGTTGGACTGGCCTTTGCACCGCGGGCAGCAGCTTGATCCTTTTGGGACAGGCCGCAGGCGACCGGGTCGGCGCCAGGTGGGTACAGGTCTCTTGATCCGAAACCAAAGACCAAGGGTGAAAGCTGACAGACCACCCCGACAAACAAAGAGGAAAGTCATCTCTCCAACCATCTCCAACCACTTAGTCACTTCGGGGCAACTTTCGTTTGCGTTTGGAGAGTAATCTGTTCAAAACGAATTCAACTTGACGAAACGACCAATCCAAGTTTTGATCAAAGCCCAACCCAGAGGCTATAGCTCCATCACCCTAAGAACCCTTGGACTTATTCGATTCCATTGGTTTCTCAAGTCAAGTCTGCGGTTTCAGTGGGGGTTCCTGTGGAGGCACTCCAAACTCAAGGAACGCCAAAAGAATTCCGGACATTTGTGCACATTCTGTAGACGAGCAGCTGCTGAAGGCGTTGGTGGAAGCAGAAATGGCTAAACAACTTAAGCAAACATAAGGTTGGAGGCCATCGTTTCTGGGTTGGAGGCCATCGCAGTCCAAACCCTGTCTGTTTGAGGGCCCGGATTCTTAGGGCAGTACCTACCCAGATGCAGTGCTCGATTTCGGGATGGTGGCTATTTGCTATTCCAGTCAGGCGAGCTTCGACCCCAAGTTCCAGATGTCCGGCAGTCCGACAAGACGCTGGTTGGAAAATCCACATCCCAACTGGACATCCACCCTCCAAACAGGGCCGATGCTGGGGATTTGCCAGCCATCCAGTCTCTTCCACATCGCACGTTTCGTCCACACGTGGAGGCAAAGTGGAAGTTTGGCGTTTATCGCTGCCAGCACTGAGGGGCAGCGCTTGAGATGCCTGGATACAAAAATGCCACTGAGAATAATCGCAGAACAGATTGTATCCCACATGCTCATCACGTGTCCCCACCATGGAAGGCCTGTTTGGGGTGTGTATTAAAATAGGGAGACCTCTCAGTTCGACCCACCCTAGAAGGTTCGGAAAATAGACCAGTCTACCCAGCCAGGGCCAGGGTGTCTCCCTGTTGAAATAGACACACATGTATAGTTTTAGTTACTTCATCAGCCCCATTGCTACAAGCTTTGAAGAATTTCAACCAGCAAAGTGACCGCACTTGGAATCAACGGGAAAGCGGGTTCCACAAAACGGATTGGAAAAAACATCATCTTAAGGGTCTTCAACTGTGGCCCCTTCATCGGTCGCTCGTCTGACCCGGTGATCGAAGAGTTTTTGGGTTCACCCTCCCATACCCTCCCTATACCAGGACCTTCCAAGTCCGGTGGTTTTTGGGCACCCCTTGACCTCTAAGAGGCTGTTTATAGACACCTCTTGGTGCCGGTCCTGGTTTGTGGCCAGTTGAGTGGTCGACTGGACTTTAGACTCATTGGTTTTGTCGATCTCTTCACTTCCACTGACCAGCAATCCCCTTGACATCCAGCCATCGCGTTGGCCAAAATGTGGACACTCTTTATCGATTAGTTCAGAAAGGAAATGTCTCAGCCAGCTGATGGACTGAGCGAATGGGATACAGAGAGCGATTCTTCTCCGAAGAAAGGCATCCCAGAACTGTTGGGAGTGGTGGTGCTTTTGGGGCGCGAGACGTAGGATGAGAGGCCTAAAATCCAAGCCAGCAAGGTCATTGATTAGACAAAACGCAATACATTGGGAAAGGTCGAGAAATCGCATTTCGACAAGTCAGAAATTGGAATATAGTACTTTGGTATGCCTAAAACCAGTGAAATTCCTCCCTGGTAGAAAGCAAAAAGCGGATCGCTTCTCCTTGGAATAGAGTTTGGCGCCAAACCTTGTTTCAATCTGTTTCATCATGTGTACGAAAAGGAAATCAAAAAAAGTCCAGATGAAAAAGTCAACGTCGACTTCACACCTCTTCAATCTGCATACTACTAGGGTCGTAGGGTGATGTTTTGTCCGTCCTCCAGAGGTGGTACGAACTGGAATTCGCTGAGATTGCTAGATCACGATTCCGAGGGAATCCCTTTGCAGGACTTGATTCTCTTTGGAAAGTATTCTGCTCCATTTGCTCCCAGAAACCCAGTGTACATAGCGCGGGCCCCCCACCTGGCCGGCCGTGGACCATCCGCTGAAAGAAAAGGGTCCGGAGGGTGAATGTGTGAGATTCGGTGGCAAAGCAAGATGGTGTACGAAAACCATGGGATTGTTTATTGGATTCGCACGACCACCAGCATTGATGCAAACAAACACGCGATGTGATTGGTTGAAGCCGCATGCAGCTATGAACAGCGAATGACACTGCAGTTCACCAGATCTGTTGGTAGGTTTTCTGCACCGGGGCCTGTCCAATGAAGATAGGGTTCTTAGGAGATCTGGCACACCAGTGGTAGTCCAGCTAAGACTCTTCGTCACAGGAGCAATTCTCGGAGCAGAAGATGTTTGGGTGCGATCACTGTAGGATGTTTCTCAGTTAGAGTCAGTTCAAGGACCTAGACTCTATAGCGGTGTCTGTCCATGCAATTCCTCATGTTCCCCACCGGTCTAGCGTGATGAAAAGGGGATGTATATGAAAAGGCCACTGGTCCAAGAAAAGGATCCCCCCTGGCCAGGTCTAAGGATGTGAAGATATGACTTTTGCGGGTTCATGAGAGTTGCGCATGTTACTCGCACGACGTTCAAGCTCATTCACCACAAGACCAGGAACACTTTCACTCCCTGAACCTCTTCCTTTTCTGTTCTCCCCCCCTTCTCAGGACATGTCAGGGCAGTTCGGCTACCCAGGTATACCACCGGACCACGCCTCCATGGACACCCGCGATTTTCCCGCGTCCACCGGTTTCGCCCTCGCCCTTCTGGGAGGGTCGGTCGAACTCGATGGCTCCGCCAGGAGAGGCTCATGGATCTGCTCGACAGCAGCTTGGAGGAGGAGGTTCAAAGACCTGAAGGCACCCATTCGGGCGACGCGACGAATCACGCGTTCCATGGCTTCGGGCTTCATCGGCACGCGTTGTGCCACTCGCCCCTCGGCGGGTGGCGAGGTGCCAAGGTGCGAGGTACAAATCCGCGAGGGTCTGGGCGACAAAAGGGTGAGGAGCGAGTGAAAGTGAGGGAGGGAAAATTGAAATGAGTGGGTTTGGATGGAGCCACAAAGCTTACAAAGATGCTTTGAAGGTTCAGTGAGCCGGGTGAGTGGCGCAATGTGAGTTCGAATCCTTGGGAATACGAAGTTCAGGTTTTGCAAACCACCGCATCTTGAAGACATTTGCTGCTATTGAGCTTAGCAGGATACTCTGCCTGCAACTAACACGGAAGTGGACAACCCCCTGTTTGTAGAGGAAAATGGTCTTCCAAGGGGCAATTCTCCACTTCCATGTTAGTTCTAGGGAGTGTACCTGGTCAGCAAGCTCGCACTGAAGATGCAGAAAGAGAGCCATGATGATTGGTGAAGCAATGCATTGTTCTGTCTCGGAGCAAAGAAGTTCCTTGTAAAACCGAATTGAATCCCCTCGTAAACTCCACCCTGAGTCAGCAGAAACAACGAAAAGTACTGAATTAAGGAAATAGATTTGAAAGATGTTTGGATTATTCTGGATTATGATAATTGGTGGTTTACCAGTTCATCCTCTGTCATCCTCCCAAAAAAGTCCCGCGTTTTCTTGGGGCGCCAAAACGATGACGGTATCACGCGGGGTCTCAACTTCCAAAGATCGTCCCTTTGGAACTTGTGCCACATGATACCCTAAACCCTATCATATGATCATCCAATTCACATCTGTCGTTTTGTGCCATACCCTTTGCACCCTGGGTGTTTGGTGGTTCAAACCGCTGGCAATTGATCCGTCATGATAAGCAAGGGGTGACGGTGACCGGAAGTAGCTATTGATCCATCAATGAACCATGCAATAATACTATGCATCAGATTACTCTCCCTCCAACAATCATGGAAGCGGAAGAATGTGGAAGATAGCCCATGGGGCCCATTGGAAGACCATTTTCCTTTGCACGGAGGGAGTTGTCCACTTCCATGTTTGTGTGGGGGAAGGTAACCTTCATTGGACTCCTACAGTCTGAGCGTTTGAGCCTGAAAAAACCGCTCGAGCTCTGTTCCACGATCGACGTCTCCGTTTTTTCGCACACGTGGCACAGGGAAGCCAATGCGTGGACGTGTGGATGAGGCCATCATCCGTTTGGAGAGGCGCCTTGGATGACATTCGTTGTAGGTGTGTGTTTTTGTGGCGTTTGGAAAGATGGGGCTTGGTAGGATGTCCACAGTAACCTCATAGCATGCATGGTTTGGGAGACACGCTTGGAGAATAGGGCTGGACTGAGGACACCTATAGTGGCGCGTCATGTTACGTACAAGTGTTGCTGTCTCCGACATGTCTTTGCTCTCATGATCTCGAAGTTCCGCACCTGCCGATCATTCAAAAACCCGAGGAGTTTTCTCAATCCCAAAACAGTATGAAGGTTACACGAGGCATCAGCGATACGTGACCACTTGCACCTCTTACACCGTACAAATTCCTAGGGTTTGGTTTCGCAGGGTATGTATTATGAAACAATTATATATGAACCAGCAACCCTGTTCCCTTCCTTGCTTCGTGGGGACCCGATTCCTTCCCACAGACTTGTGGCGGTCACCAGTGGGTCACAGACAGAGGGTCGACTCTGGTTCCTTCCGAATCCCTTCAGAGATTGGACAGAAACCGAAATCCATGAGCAATTAGAATCCCTCCTATCCGGGGTTCAGTCTGACCCAGGTCCTCCTTGGTCCTAGAAACCTCATATTTGCATTGAGTAGTGCGTTTTGTAATAGCAACTCCAGTAAAAATCAGGTCTTTGACCATTTGACCTGTAGGGAATGTTCTATCATATCATATAAACTTGTCACTTGTCCAATCTATCTTCGGCATGACTCTCCTGTATGCCGCCCTTCATGCCCGTAGTTGGAGTTCCGCGCGTCAGCAACGCGTTCCCGGGGTGCCGTTGTTCCTGTTTCGTTCTTCTTTTGTGGTGACTCGCCCTCATCGGCCAGACGGGTTCCTTCCCTCCCCACCTCCGGCCCTTGACTCCGTGGATGGTTTCACCCACCGACCCTCGGAGGTTGAACTCCAACGAGGAGCCCGTGTACTCTCCAGAGCTGGATGGCACCTGGATCGTCAAGTGACCAGTCGGAGACCGGGACGAGATGCTGTGAGACACGGGAGAGCCGGTCCGGTCGCGGTCAACGAAACGAAGGAGTCGCCTGAAGGTGAAGTGGGATGAAGCGGGGAGAGGACCTGCCAAGACTAGGGAGTGAAGAGTGAGTGGTGTTTGGGGGCGCGATGTTTTCTTTTCTGGCTAACAGGTTGTAGGATGTCATAGGATGTCCTTTATAGAGCACGTTCAAAATCTTCAGGGCTGTGACCACGTGGGTGTTCGCGGCGTGGTTGCGGCCTAGCTAAAAAGTTGGACGATCAAAATGCCTGAAGATGGTGGACTGCTAGAGACCTGCAGAGGGGGGGGGCGGGTGATTCGAACAACTATTGGTTCAGGATGGTTCATGTGTCTTTTGTTCCAAAGAACCTTGTTTTACTAAGGATTCTTACATGTTACATAACTATATAATATGTTTTACACTACACTACACCACCAGGTCAACCCTTCTTTGAATGGTCTTTGAAGGCGAGCGGGTGTATATTGGGAGACCTGTTCCAGAAACTTCCAGCATGCAACCCGCAGCATAAGACAGGACAGAAACTCTTCCGGTTTTGGAGAGTTTTTTTTGCATTTGCAGGTTGCAGGAGTCTGAAATGGGCATGATCAAATCTGCAGAAGCACCGTTGAGTGAAAAATGCCTTGCCAGTTTCCTGGCCACAC